TCTTTCTGTTACCGATAGTACTATTGTAAACTATAAAAATAATTACTTTCGAGTTATAAGAAAGGTAATACTAGCCGCCAAAAAACACGCAGTTCAGTCTAGAATAGAGCTATCGAAGAACTCTGCTAAATAATATGAAGGGCAGTAAACAAAAGAAAGAAAGCAAGCCTCTGGTATAAATAAAGATAAAATAACATTAAAGGAAAACGGCTTATACATTGACAATCTTTAATTAATAATTCATTTAATCATGGCAATTCTCCATTCACAGGTAAATTGAGCTCCTCGATGAAATTTTATGAGCAGAATATTTATACTTGTTCAAAGGTCATGATTTGGGAATAAATTATACTCACAGAAATTACTAAATTAGTAAAAAAATGGAGGACAAAAAATCGTGTGGCTGGGACGACATCCCAATATCAATCTTTAAAAGAAATATTGACTTATGGGCTAGTGCTCTTGCTAGGTTTTACAATGAGTGTTATGAGCAGAGTGTCTTCCCTGACCAACTTAAAATTGCCAAAGTTTTGCCTGTATATTAAAAAGAGGCCAGAAGAGATACGAAAAACTATAGACCTATTTCCTTACTGCCAATTCGTTCAAAAATTTTCGAAAAATTAATAAAGACAAGACTAATAAAACATCTCTATGAAAATAACATTAAACGGCAATTTGGATATCAGGCTAATATTGGAACAAATAACGCAATAGAAGTACTAATTGACAATGTTATGACAAATTTAAATAAGAAGAAAAAGGTACCAAGCCTCTTTCTAGATTTGAGTTTAGCTTTTGATATGGTGGATCACCAAATTATGGTTTACATTATGGTGGACAAGGAAAGATTTGGGAGCTTTCAAGTCATACTTGAGTAACAGATATCAACACGTAGAGACCAAGTATACAAATAATGAACAAGAGAAAATATTTAAATCAAAACTAAATAAAATTAAAAGAAGTGTTCCGCAAGGTTCAATCTTAGGACCCGTTCTGTTTATAATTTTTACTAATGACTTAATTTCATTTTCTTTTCTTTAAAAAAAAAAAAACGTTACCTCCACACTAGGATTTTCTCCTGTGTCGTGGAGGCAGTTAACAAACATAAATTGCACAAGGACAAACATCCGAACCCGGAACAATTATTTGTAGGCCATACAAATACTTGTTCCGTGCGGGATTCGAACCCGCGGCCCCCAGCGCAACAACTGATTGCTAAGCCACTGCGCCACGGAGCCGTCGTTCATTTATGTACAACTCTATACCAAACACTGAATTTGTAGTATTTGCCGACGATACCAATGCAGTGATAAGTTCACAAAATATTCTTGATCTCAACAACAAAATTAACTGCGTTTTTGAAGCTTTTGCCCAGTGGTTTAATGCAAATAACCTTAAACTAAACCCAGAAAAAACGAAAACCATCCTTTTTAAATCTACTGCAAGAGTAAGAGATATCTTAGATATTAAATTAAATGATGACTGTATATCCACTGTAGATTCTGTAAAATTTTTGGGTATGCATATAGTTTCTCTTCTTAATTGGAAACAAGAAGTAAATTTCATAGAAAAACATATATCATCTTCATGTTATGCTTTACGAAGCTTAAGAGAGCAGCTAACAATGAAGCAATTAAAAATAGTATTTATGCTCTAGTAGAATCTCGTCTAAGACATAGCATTAAATTTTGGGGAAATAGTTATGACTACAATCTTGAGAAGGCATTTATTATACAAAAGAGAGCAATAAGAACAATGGTGCGCATATCCCAATGCTATTTCTTCTTACAGACCTTGTTAAATATTTAGACATATGAAACCGCAGAAGAAAGGATAAAGCGTTAAGACACTAGGCGAAAAGATATTGCGAACCTGATACAGCCTAACCTACAGATAATTAAACATTGTGCAAGATATCAAGCGGTCAGTCTATTTAATAAATTGGCAAATTATTTAAAATGCATAACAAATGTGATCCAATTTAAAAACAGCTTGAGGTCGTATCTTCTGGTAAATAGTTGTTATAGTGTAGAAGAATATGTAAATTCTAATTATAAGAAATAATAATTTTGGACTGATGATAAAATATAGTTAAACAACTGACGTATTTCTTTTTATAATCTTATTATTTTTACATATTTCTTTATTGTAATTTTATATTTTTGACATATTTCTTTATTGTAATTTAATTATTTCCTATTATTATAATTTTACTATTTTGATGTGGATATTTAATTGAGTATTGCATACATGGTAATGTTATTTTTTAAATCTTATTGAATTTACTTGTAATTTCCAACACAATGTATTTTGTTATTAATGGAATAAATGACTACGACTATGACGACGACCCGGAGAGACCGTTCACTCAGAAAGTCCTTCCTCAGACAATCAGGCCAGGGGCTAAGCCGTACACTGAAAGCTTGCCCAATAGGCTAACCTTGTCAAAGGCCTTCGAAACATCGAGGGAAATAGCAAGTGGTTCACCACTGTTCTCGAGGATTTCGCCCCATATGTGAGTGGCATACGCTAGAAGTTCCCCAGTTTATCGGTGAAACCCGTACTGGCGATCACTGAGGAGATCATTTTACTCTAGGTATGCCATGAGGTGGGCGTTCAATATATGCGCCATAATCTTGCAGAGTATGGAGGGAATTGAAGTTGGCCGATAGTTGGCAGGTCCGGTACGGCTCCCTTTTTTAGGCACAGGCTGCACATTGACCAGCTTCCAAGATTTGGGCACTATACCAGTCCTAAATGAGAGGCGGAACAAGCGTATCAACACAGGAGACAGCTGAGGTGCTTAGAACTATAGCTGGTATACCATCAGGTCCACTAGCATTGTTCACGTCTAGATTTCGCAGGGTTTTAAGAACCTCCTTTTTGATGATACGGACCTCTGACATAGAGGTACCGCAGTGAGGTAAATGAGATGGTACGCTGTTGCTACTGTCCAGACGCGAATTGCAAGCAAAAAGAGAAGCAAATAAGTCCGCTTTCTCCTTAGGCGCATGCGCCAGTGAGCCATCTGGTTTTACAAGCGGAGGCAGTGTAGACCGACAGAAGTTTGTCTCGACCACTTTGGCGAGAGACCAAAAAGCTCTACTGCCAGATGGTTTGACAGAGAGCATTGTACCGATGCGTTTAATGCAGTCGAAACTGGCTTGGTGTAATGCCTTTTGCAGGACTTGGTGGTTTGGTTAAAGGCTCTCTTCTTAAGGCTAACATCCGGAGCTTTGCGGTCTCGAGCATCAACCCAGGATAAGTACGCCAAGTCCTTGTGCTTTTCAGTGTTTTTCACTCTGCGTTGAACCATGGGCGAGCTTTACCACCAATGGACAGGTCAGCAAAGGGGATGAAATACTCCATCGCTTGACGTATCACGTCTGTTATGGCGTCCGTGCAGTTCGACGGGTCTTCAGACGAGAAGCAGACCTGCCGCCAAGGACAAGATGCAAAGAAATGACAGAGATCAGAAGTTCCCAAGGGTGAGATAACCTGAACATCGTACCTGTCTGGATCGGTCGTCAGCAGAAGTTCGAGGTTCTTCCAATTTCCCTAGAAATAGCTGTCCGTATTAACTGTAAGGTTTTTTGCCACACATCATTTCAGATATGTACATATTGTATATTTATTTAAGTAGGTATAATTTATTTCGTTATTTAAATTAATATAATGTATTAAATTTCAAAGTAGGTAATGAGGGCATCCACGATTTGTACAATTTGTAAGATAAAATAAATGTCATGACTAGGTATATGCTGCTATGGAAATTCAGATTACTGATGTTATGTGTTTAAAAAGTGATATTTGTAGTACTATAATTAATTACCTGCGATCGCTGTCTTATCTGCCAAGTGTAAAATCACGTTATATTTGGCAAAAAACGAATAATTTAGAACTTTTAATAGTTTAAATAAAAAGTTAAAAAAAAAACACTGAAACAAAATGAGCTGATGATCTTCAGACGGCTAAACAGATTTTCTTGAAATACAGCTAAGGACAATTTCGAATAAAACAACTTTCAAACGAGAAAAACTTAATCAAAATCAGTTCATCCGTTCAAGACCTATGATGCCACAGACAGACACTGACTGATACACTCTACAAAATTATAACATCCCTCCAGTTTCCTTGGAGGTTATAAACTAAGGTTGACCACATACATACGGAAATCCGTTTCGGGATTCCGTTTCGATATTCCAATTCGGGATTCCGTAAATGCATCACACACATACGTTTATTGCATTTCGGAATAGCAAGGGTCAGTTGAGAGACGTTAGCCATTGAGTCTAGACATTCTGCCAGCGAATAATGACGACGATTTTGTGATTACAATTCCATTGTTGCTGTATCATTCTTACTAGGTGCATCCCCTTATCACCCTAAACTTGCAATATAGTCAATATTATGTAAAAAAATCTATCTATCCAGAGATATTTTTTTGAATATGGATGTCTGTAAACTCTTTCGACGAAGTATTAAATTAAATAAGATGAAAGGTTACGAAAAGCTATACACATATAAGATTAAATGTAAAAACATACATAAACACACCTACTCGCTTCGGTCGTGCGATGAACACTGAGCGCGTTCCGTACGGAATTTACGAATGTGTGTAGACTCATACAAAATCTATGGAAGACTTGCGTTCGGAGCGGCTTTTTTCCGTTCGGGATTCCGAACGCACAGGCGGTCATACGGAATCTCGAATCGGAGAAAATTCCGTACGGAGAATTACCGTACGTGTGTGACGGGTCATAGATTTTATATGGACTTGCTGCGTTCGGAATTCCAAATCGGAATATCGAAACGGAATGCCGAAACGGAATTCCGTATGTATGTGGCGGGCCTACAGGAGTAACATAGACTACAATAGTCATCTTCACTACTTTCAAATACGGCATATAATTTTAAATTTAAGAAATCTAGGTTAAAGGATTATGTGATGATTATAATTAATGATAGACTACATAAGAAACATTTATTTATTTAATTACCTGCTTACCGCCTTCCCCCTTTGTCTCATCCATCTTCCAGTGTAACCCATCAATTGAGCGCCGAGGGAATGTGCTATTAAGTGAATGCTATTTATATCAAGTCCTGCGTCTATTAGAGTGAGTAAACTGTTTCCGAGCTCCTCGCCTATCTGTTAAAGAATACAGTAAGATACGTAACAAAATGAAGTTACGTAAAATTTGTGATCGTCGAAAATGTACGAAATCAATATGTTTAAAAGATATACTAGGTTCGCTACTTTATTGTAAGCATTGATAATACCATTCTCACTATATATCAAATCGTCTCTATGTATTGGCTTTAAATATCTAAATAATTCAATATTACATAGATTCAATATCAGATAGAGAATAATTTTAAAATTCAATATCAAATAGAAATAACAATATCAAGAAAAGAGCGTACTCCTTTTTAAAAGACCGGCAACGCATCTGCAATTCCCTCCCTGGTGTTGCAGTTGTTCATGGGCGGCGGTAGTCACTTACCATCAGGTGAGCCGCATGCTCGTTTGCCCCCTCTCCTATAAAAAAAAGATAATATAGTATCGGTGGATATCTTATATTCTGTAACACTGTAAGGAAGTCAGTATCCAGAAGTACACTGTTACTCGATTTTTGATAGATTTGGATTGCAAAGATATATTGTATTATCTCAGTATTGGTTAATATCTTACAACGAATAGGCGAAGTAGATATTTTCTATATTTTTCTCAAATATGATATCTAACGTTCAATGAATCTGTACAATATTAAAAACTATAATAATAAAAAAATTAAAACTAGAAACTTAATTATCATATAGTTCTACTCCCCGCGTTATCGTGCCAAGAACGCTGGCTGCGTTTCCCCGCTGAATGGCTATACTTAGCCTTTGAGCGAGAAAAGAACCAGCCCTCTTATCGATGAATTATATTATAGATATTTTACGATAATATTATTTCTTCGAGTTTGATGTTAGATGTTCTGTGAAGTGACTCTTGTACTGTAGCGGTAGTCTGCCGTATGATATATAAATTTACAGCCTATATATGATATACGTCCACTGCTGGACACAGGCCTCCTCTCATTTCTGAGAGGGTTTTAGGGCAAGGAAGTGTCCACCGCGCTGCCCCAGAGCGTGTTGGCGAAATTGTCTTCGAAATATTTTTTTCTTATTTCTCAGACATGCAGGTTTCCTCACGATGTTTTCCTTCTGTCTTGTATACGGCTTATAACAATGACATCCCAACCCTGGCAGGACACCTACGCGAATGGTAGGAAGATGTAGAGCTGGCTCTATATACGCACGAAGCGCCTACTTCACATTGTCCAGAAGAGCTCATAGCTGCCAGTACAGCGCCTGCTGGAACTGCTGCCACCGTGGCTGGATGAGTGGAGGATGGCCATCAACGTTGGTAAGACGATAGCTCTGCTCACCCACCGCCTCAGGAATTTGCCAACACCAATGATACACAGAGGCCAAGAGGCTAATCAGCACTTAAATTGTAATTAACAATTTCATTGATGCCGGCGGGAATCGAACTCAGGTTGCTCGAGTACTGTGAAATTAACAGCGAGTGCTAACCATCTGAGCTACCACGGCTATATATACTCGTAGAAATTGGATATTGTACCGATATATAGATGTTGACATATACGATTTGTATCCCTCACTCCTACTTTGTTGTCGACAGTCATCGACTTTGAAATTCCTGTAGTATCAGTCTCTTACAAATTGTAATGAAATAAAAAGTAAGTTAGTCCAAGGTTTCTCAAAATTGTAGCTAATCTGTGCAAATTTCACTCACACATTGCCTTTCCTTAAAATATTCGCTAAGACTATTAGCAACGTCCATCATTATTTAAAAAAAATAGGTATTATTTTATATCTTTCATAATAAAAGTCTGATGGAACGTGGCCAATGCTGTCCACGGGCACCTGTCGCCACTCACCAACTCCAAACAAAGAAGGCTGCAAATGTGTTGTCACCGGGGACTTGTAATTGGACGTAGTTATGCAAAAAGTAATATAAGTTAATTTGAGTTCATGATATTTGAAGTATCCATACTTCAAATATCATAAACTCAAATTATCGGCATGGTTTCTGTCTGTTTGTAATTTTTCTTCTTATTTATGTTACGTTTGCTAAAATTGTTACATCACATAATAGTATAGACCGCAAACATTATTTTTCAAGTAAACATTTTTGACACAAACTCGGGTTGGATCCTTTTTGCATAGCCACGTCCAATTATATTGACTTTTTTTCTAATTATTGGTGATAGAAACGGTAAAGAACAATACTAACTCAGACGAGATAAAACTCCGTCTGAGTTGGTATTGAATTGCCTCGCTAAATTATAACAAAAAAAAGTGACATACCCGTTTAGCATTCGGTGCAGCTGACGTCGCATAACTGGCAGCAAATCCAAGCAAGCCCATTTTCGCCTCTTCCTCCCAGTCCAGGAGTATAACGTTACTTTTCTTCTTGTCTATGTAAGCGGAGAGGACCGCCGTGGTAGCTGGCCCGGCGGTCTTTCCTTGGTAGCCGAATGTGTAAATCACGGTTGTTAGGGACTTGTCGAAGGATGAGGACTGAATTATTGGTAATGGGTTCTCTAATGAAGTTCGGAGATACTCTGAAAGAGACCTGAAAAGGAGTCTCGTTTAATCACAGGTTATCGTGTTTATGTAGTGCGAATTAACTACGTGGTAGGCGCGTCACGCTGCTTCGATCGAAGTCAAAAACGGATATTTGCTATAATTGCCACGCTTGGCAGGTGGGTTGGCAACCACAGTTTTTTAAGTTGTTTTTAGGAAGACGCTGCGGCCCATCTCCTAGTTTGTTTCCCTCTGACGCCTTTTACGTCATCCACGGGATAATATAGGGTATTGGATATTTTTACACCGCAATTACACAGTTAAAATGGACGTACGTGGTAAAGCCATGCTGCAGCTATATTAGTAGTATAGTTGTAGCACGAATGGGTCGGCTTGACCGGGCAAGGAACACGCTCTCACAGAATACCAGCGTAAAATAGCAGTTTAACGCTGCTGTGTTTCGTATGGTGAGTGTAGAGTACCGGTTACCCTTTTTACTGGAAAAGAGGCATTCCATCTTAGTCCTCACGGATGACAACGCATCTGCATTTTGATTCGCAAACGAGGATAGATGTAGATGTCTATGGGCCACAGCAACCACTTACCATCAGATGGACTGTGTGCTCGTTTGTCACCCTATCCTATAAAAAAAAAACACATTAGTTTAATTTATTCAATTTATATCACTAAAAATATTAAAGTGAAAGTGATATTAGAATATTTATAATTATTAGAATTTTAGTGTCTCAAATATCTAAGTAGAAACCATAGAAACTATTTTTCAGGTCATGCTCATCAGCAGCTTGCAACTGTTGGACAAGATATTATGGGCTATTTTATATAGCGAGGATTTTCCATAATCGCCACGCTTTTGAATGCACCTTTGAACTGTAACACTGTCCTGTGCAGATGTGTAGACTCCGTTGAGACTTGCCGCCGTGACCGAAATTCGGTCTGGAGGATATTATTACGTGAACATCCGAATAAATGTATCCCGCCAACACGTATTGGAGTAGAGAGTTGGGTTCTATATAACTGAACAAAATGAAGAGGACGCCTGTGTCCAGTAGGGGAATGTGTTTTGGCTGTTATTTTACTTTTAATTTTGTTAATACTCGATCGATGTATTTATTGGACCAATTCATTCGGGTATTTCCCAAAGTTGCATATTTGAAAATTTTGTGGATGGTTATGCTACCGTCACACGCTGTAAATTTATATGAGCTTGTTTTGGCATAGATTTCGCCTTCGGATGGGTTGGGGTTCGAATCCAGGAAAACAGACTCAGTTGTGGAATCGCATAATACAAAAACCAGAAAACAGGTTTTACAGGAACTATTTCTTTTGCCCTATGTAAGCCTGTTATTATTAGAAAACCTTAATAGAAGGATTTCGACTCTTCGTAAACAAAGAACTGTATTTTTTTGCGGTGAGTGATTCGATAAAGCAAAGAAAGCGAACGAAATATAGATTATGTATGCTCGTGCGATCCTACGTTACATAACAAATGTACCGCCCTAGTAGTCTACTTAGCAGACCTTGAGAAGGTTACGCTTGTGCGTTGTTTTTGATAAGCGATGGTTATTTACAACTCGCTATCTTATTGTTAATTTATACACAGAATTATTATATATATTATATTAATTAATTTTTTTTCCAGAAGCGGCCCCACAGGAAGTGGACCTGGTCGAGCCCCGACGGTTCGACAAAAAATGACATTGACTTCATTATGACGACCAGACGACAACTGTTCAGTGATGTCTCCGTGATCGCGAGGGTGAAAACGGGTAGCGATCACCGAATGGTTAGAGGCACACTGAACCTAAACGTTAAGTTGGAGAGGTTCTCGTCTAATGAAGTCAACGCTCCGTCACCCTCGTGCTCTGTTCCAAAGTCCTGAAACCTTTCAGCTCGAGTTACAAAACCGTTTTCAGTGCCTAGAAAACTGCAATGAAGTGGACGATATAAGTGACAAGCTCGTGGAAACTGTCCATGCGGTAGGAGCTAAGTTCTGCAAGACCCGCCGCAGAAGAACACAAAAACTCTCCGATCACACTCTTAATCTCATGGCTGTTAGACTGGAGATGAAGCTACATTCTTCAACAGATTTGACAGCATAAAGGCAACTGAACAGACAGATCTCCAAATGCATGCGGCGGGACTTACGCAACTTCAATACAGCTTGTATTGAAGAAGCGATCGAGCGGAACCAAGGCTCCAAAGTCTTTGCCAGAGATCTGTCTGCCAGAAAGAGCCAACTGTCAAAGCTGAGGACCGAGTGTGGCAGCATCGTTTCCGGGCACCTGAGATTTTGAGTGAAATTGAGAGGTTCTATGGGCAGCTGTACGCGTCATCGTGGGAGCCACACGCAAGTATGAGTAACGATCCAAGAGCGAGTCTTATCCGACACTATTTCGAAGATATCCCGGACGTCAGTCTGAGCGAGATTAGAATGGCTCTCCAGCATCTTAAAAACAGCAAGGCCCCAGGCAAGGATGGAATTACAGTGTAGCTTCTGAAAGCGGGTGGAAAACTGGTACTTGAAGTCCTTCAGAAGCTCTTTAATTCCGTCCTCCATGGTGGCATTACACCGGAGGCGTGGGGCAGAAGTGCGGTGGTCTTGTTTTTCAAGAAAGGCGACAACGCTCTCTTGAAGAACTACAGACCGATTTCCCTTCTGCGCCGCGGTTACGTGCTGTTTTCGAGAGTCATTACGAATCGTCGCGCGCGCAGACTTGACGACTTCCAGCCTCCCGAACAAGGCGGTTTCTGACAGGGCTTTAGCACCATTAACCACATACATACCCTTCGGCAAGTTGTATAGAAGTCCGAGGAGTACAATTTGCCACTATGCCTATCGTATGTGGACTATGAGAAAGCCTTTGATTCCGTCGAAATTTGGGCGGTGCTGCAGTCCCTTCAGCGGTGCCAAGTTGACTGTCGGTATATCGAACTGCTGAAGTGCTTGTACAGTAGGGCTACGATGGCTATCCGAGTACAGAACTAGAGTACGAAACCTATCTAATTGCCGAGAGGTGTAAAACAGGGTGACGTTATATCCCCGAAATTCTTCACCGCTGCATTGGAAGACGTTTTCAAGCTTCTGGACTGGAAAGGATACGGTATTAACATCAATGGCGAGTACATCACTCACCTTCGATTTGCCGACGATATAGTCCTTATGGCAGAATCGCTGGAGTATCTAAGCACCATGCTCAATGACCACAATAGTGTCTCCCAACGGATAGGTCTTAAGATGAACATGGACAAAACAAAGATCATGTTCAATGTCCATGTCACACCTATGCCGGTAGTTGTTGGGAGCACTAAGCTCGAAGTTGTTGACGAGTGTACCAACTTCGACCGAGAGGTCAATCGACGGATTCAACTCGGTTGGACAGTGTTCGGGAAACTACGACACATCTTCTCGTCAGACATACCTCAAAACCTTAAAACGAAATTGTACAACCAGTGCGTGTTGCCAGTGATGACTTACGGATCTGAGACGTGGTCCTTCACTGCTGGCCGTATGAGGAAGCTCAAGGTCGCTCAGCGAGCTATGGAGAGGGCTATGCTCGGAGTTTCTCTGCGTGATAAACTTAGAAATGAGGATATCCGCAGTAGAACCAGAGTGACCGACATAGCCCAACGGATTAGTAAGCTGAAGTGGCAGTGGGCCGGCCATATAGCTCGAAGAACCGACAACCGATGGGGAAGAAAGGTTCTTGAGTGGCAGCCTCGTACCGGTAGGCGAAGTGTATGGCGACCCCCCACTAGATGGAGTGACGACCTGGTAAGACATGCAGGAAGTCGATGGATGAAGGTGGCTCAGAACCGTGCTTTGTGGCATTCCTTGGGGGAGGCCTATGTTCAGCAGTGGACTTATGAAAGACTGTAATGATGATGATGATGATTAATTTTTAGACAGTAAAATAGTAGCTTAACGCTGCTGTGTTTCGTATGGTGAGTGTAGAGAATCAGAGATCCTTTTTTAGTGGAAACGAGGCATTCCATCTTAGTCCTCATTGATGACAACGCATCTGCATTTAAATTCTTAATGGAGGTTAGATGTAGATGTCTATGGGCCACAGCAACCACTTACCATCAGGTGGACTGTGTGCTTCGTTTGTCATCCTTTTCCTGTAAATAAATCTTTTTTTGAGGCATCTCTGTGATATATTCGCATCGCTAGGCTGTTATTATGTAAATTCAAGAACTTTGATAATTCAGTTACGGTGCTGAGGACCGCGGGTACGAATCCTTCACGAGGCTAGTTTTTATATGGCATAAAAATTATTGTTATGGGTCTGGATGTTTGTTCTTGTGTAATTTATGTATGTAACAAATAAGTACACGGTTCACCTGACACCTGACTGACCTCACACTGTGGTGCATAGACATCGAGATTTATCCTCCATTACAATTTAAAATGCAGTTGCGTTGTAACCCTTGAAGACTAAGTTGGAGTACTTCGTTTCCAGTCAAAAGAATATCCCGTTCTCTACACTCACCATACGAAACACAGCAGCACTGAGCTGCTATTATATTCTGGTATTTAGTGAGAGCGTGGTCATTCCCTTGTCGAGCCGACCCATTCGTGCTACAACCATAATTATATAAATATACTAGCTGGCCAGGCAGACGTTGTTCTGCCCTTTTTGACGACCCTTCATATAAAAAATCCTTGTATTCATAATAGAAAAATATAGAGGGTCACTTATCATGATAAAAACTATCTCAAGTTGGACCAAACTGCACAGAGTGTGCGCAATGTCATTGAAATCAGTTCAGTGGTTTAGGAGTTCATCGCGGACAAACAATGTGACACGTAATTTTTATATATAAAGATAATGGCTTTACCACGCTTAAAAGCTTCCAAGATACAGAAGAAAATCCTAGTATGGGTCCTAGTGGGGGTAACGTTGTTTAAAAATCAAAGATAAGGAAATTACGCGAGCAAACCGTGTTCGATCCATACAAATTAATTTGTTAATTAAAATTTAAATGCTGATTATTTACTATGTATGTGTTCGGTAATGAAGGACGGAAAGCCGCATGCCTGAAAAATTAAAAAAAAACTGGAGGCATGTGCAGTCTGCCGATACGTATTTGGTCAGTGCGGCGGAAACCCACTGTTAGGAATGAGAAGAGGCCTGTGCTCAGTAGTAATGTGAAGTCCACGGTGTTTCTTCTTTTTAAGAACCGTTTAAATTATTCTCATCTCTCATTGTTTCTATTTATTGTATAAATATATGCAAATTACAAATAAAAGAGATAAAAAGAGAAAATAACAATGGATCAAGCTGATTATAAAGAATTCGTTCGTCAACGATTCGAGGAGCTCAGGGAAGAGAACAGTATTCCATATGAGCCCGAACTTGTGTGTGCTAAAGTTGCTGAAATATAGGCTGAGACAACAAGGGCACTACTCTGGTTGCGTATATACGACAAAGCATTGAGTTATATGTACTATGTACTAGAGAAGCCTTTCTAAACAAAAAACGTGTACTACTCTTATGTCTTCGCGCATGCGCGGGAGACAGTAAAGTCGCGCATGCGCAGTTGATTTAAGCGCGTTGCGCCTGCGCGGTCAGTTCATATAAAGAAATATATTTTTTTTAATGATTTTTCTTTTGTAATATTACGATATTACTACCTATTTATTCACTTGAACAACAAATAATTTTACTTACTTGACTACTGAATTGTTATTTACGTCCAGTTTAAACTTTAATTTGAAACCTTGTATTATTAGCGCCGCTCCACACTGCATGAATATTGAAACCACAGACTAACTAGTAGATTGAAACCACACTAAATGACACACTGTACGGATTGCAGTACAGTTTAGTTGAACATAGTGTGTGTTCGGAATGCGCAATCTAGTACGTAGTACATATTTATCGATGCGACAAAGGGATTTTTTTTTAAATTGAAGTGACAAACGTGCTTAAAGTCCACCTAATGGAAAGTGGCTACTGCTGCCCATGGACACCTGTAGCTAACTTCAAACAAAGAAGACTACACAGTGTTGATAAGATGCGTTGTCACCTGTGATGACTAAGATGGAATACTTCACAGCTTGTAATACTGGTTCTCTATACGCTTCAGAGCGGAAAACAAGAGGCAGTAACTAGCAGTGCAGTAAAAATAATTGGCGGTAGAAATAGAAAATGAGTCATACCGCCTAGTATGCCTACATTTTATTATTTTTAGCGGGAAACGGACAAACGTGTCCCCGGGGTAAATTTGAATTAATATTAGATGTAGCATCTATGATTCAAAAGATATAGATAGATATAGTCTGTTTGCTTAGATACGGTCGCCTTTGTGTAGGGCCGCCTTGGCACATGCCGCATCTTGTCAAAAGCGCTGCCGCGATATGTAAGGTCGCCGCGTGCGCATACACCGGCAGGAGAATATATAATTTAAAAACTAAGCGCTGTATAGAAAGTTTTTTTTGCTAAACTTGTGTTTATTATTTGTATTCGTATTTTATTACAATAACCATAAGAATCAAATAGTATTCTATTTTATTCTTAAAATAGAAAAACATTCATTTAACTAACGCTGTAAAAATAATAAAATAAAAGCAAAATAATAAGTGCACCTGCGACAATATAAGTGCCGATGCAATAGAATTGATGTTTACACAAAAACAACGTTTATTATGAAGGCATTTCTTATTAATGTACTATTTATAAACGACAGATGCGTTGCCGCCCCTGAGGACTAAGATGGACTGCTTTGTTTCAAGTAAAAACGGTCACCGGTTCTCTATACTCACCATACAAAACAGCTGAATTGAGCTGCTCTATTTTACGTTGGTATTCTATGAGAGCATGGTCCTATCCCGGTCGAGCCGACCTATTCGTGCTACAACCATAATATAGCTGCAGCATAGTTCTACCACGTAAAGTTACGACTAGGTTCACATAAAGTGAATAAGTTAATTGTTTTTTAAAATATTCTAACTACCCACCCCGGCTTTGTATGGTCGCAATTTACTAATGTGTTATCTCTTACGACTTGGTTATAAAACTTACCTTCCATTTAAAATCCTTGAAATTGATAGTAAAAACCACATAAAAACTACAGCAGTTTTTAAGTTTAAGACTTATCTAAATTGAGTAAAACAATATTCCAAATGAATTTTTATATTTACTTATCCTTAGTCTAATATATAATCTCGATAAAATCGACCCCACAACATGTCGATAATAATATTGATATAAGCCTAACTCCAATTATTGAAGACTATACGTAAAACATTAATTAAATTATATTTTATTGATGTAAAATAAATAAAAAAGTACAAATATAATGTTTCCTGTTTGTTTATGTTATAATACAACTATTAGCTATTAGCAGCGGTAAGTAATAAAAATAATTTAAAGCTTAAAGCTAGGCAAATGTGTGTGTGGTAAAAGTACAACTCATTTTCGTCATTTAAAAATTTTTTCATACCCAAAATGCCGGCCCCCTAAAAATGTCATGGCGTCTCCAGCTCTTTTACTAAACAACTTACAAACACAGTTAAACGACTTTATTCTATACTTATAATATAAGAGTAGACAGATGGCATTTCGCTATACTGTTGTAAGGTTCATTAAAGTTTAAATAAATTAAAAAAAAATAACACAGCGCTAAAACTGGTTGGAGTACTGCGAAAACTTACCCTTTGTAAAATCTCAACCAAGCTGCTTGTGTGTCTTGAATAATACCTGTGACATTAATATAACATTTTAAAATTATACTCACACGGATAAAGTAGTTATTGGTCTGAGAAATTTATAAATAAATGTTTGATTTATATTTGGTTAAATAGCAGCCTTGTACGGTAGACGAAGTTTTTTTTATAGGATAAGGGTGACAAGCGAGCACACAGTCCACATGATGGTAAGTGGTTGCTGTGGCCCATAGACATCTACATCTACCCTCGAATCAAAATGCAGATGCGTAGTCAGACGTGAGGACTAAGATGGAATGCCTCTTTTTAAAGGGTCTCCGGTTTTCTACACTCACCATACGAAACACAGCAGCGTTAAGTCGCTATTTTACGCTGGTATTCTGTGAGAGCGTGCTCCTTCCCCGGTCGAGCCGACCCATTCGTGCTACAACTATACAATTAATATAGGTGCAGCATGGCTCTACCACGTGTAAAAAAATGTAGGGCGGCCGCCCACTAAACGAATTAGTGACGACCTGATAAATTATGCAGGAAGCCGATGGATGCGGGTGGCTCAGGATCGTGCAATGTGGCATTCCTTGAGGGAGGCCTATGTTCAGCTGTGGACTTGTGAAGGGATGTAATGAATGAATAAAAAAAATAGCACTACTTTAATGATAAGTGATACCGGGGAACAGTTTCGCTATAACTTTAATCATTAAATTTATATCCTTGATAAATATAAACAAAACACATATTTTTAAATAAAACTAATTTTACGGATTTTATCGCGTATATTAACTTATTTTTATATTCCCGACGTTTCGGGTGCTTTCCAGCACCCGTGGTCACGGGGGACTGAGTTGTTTGACGTCCTGCTGTCATAGTTAGCCCGGCTACCTTCAGTTTTTTAATATTAATTTTTGGTTCGATTTACGCAGAATGAGCTTACAGTATCTTGAAGTCTAGCAGTGGTATACTTGGGTTTGGATTTGATTTTATTAATTATGGGATCCCAAGCAGATGGCAGCACCCATCCATCTTCTCTATTGAAATTAGGATGTTTTTTAATTTCAATAGCCTCGCGAATCATCCTTGGGAGGAATCGGTGTTCTTTTGCGAGGATTTGTGGTCTATCAAATCTAATGTAATGACGGGGACGATCCTGAACATGTTCACAAACTGCAGACTTCCCGATACGTCGGTGCTTCACGTCAGCTATATGTTCTTTAACGCGGGTTTTAATAGATCTTTTTGTTTGTCCTATGTACGAGAGACCACATTCACAATCCAGCTTGTACACTCCTGCATCTTGTAGAGGGCGCAAGATATGTAACATCATTGAATTTTCTGAAAAGGTGCCGCGACCACCAGCTCATTCCTACGTGCGTCAAAATATCTACTAAAAAGGACATTCGAGGAAGCGCTAAGATCTTAAATCAGGCAAGTAAAAAGTTGTTACGAACGGTGATTCAGCAAAAACGGTTCGATTTACAAATCATAAATAATACCATAGACAATTTGTCCAGTGAGTTAAAGACAGTTTTAACGACATTTGATTTTAATAATTGCATTGAAACTTTAAACAAACGCGAAATATCGAAATATAATGAATGCAAAGACAAACAAATAGAAAAATACCAAAAATTAACTATCAAATCAAATGCCAAACATCCATGTCAACGTAGAAACGAAACGCAACAACCGTTGACCACAGACGCAAACAATAAACAACGCACGGTCTATAATTTGTCAAAAGAGATACTGGACGAACCTACAGTAAAAGTATTGTCGAAAGGCTTAAATTTTGCTATAACGCCGCAAAAAATCCCGTACGAGGAAATTATCTGTAGTGTTGAGGATTGTCTGTTTAAGAATAATATCGGCAAAGAGGTTTTAGAGGCTATACGTCAAGACATTTCGTCCTTGTTACGTCGAAGTTCAGCGCCGAAACTAAATCTTCCGAAAGACGAATTTAAAGCGTTGTACAACTTACGCAACAGACCCGAGCTCACGATTCTCCGCGCGGATAAAGGAAATGCTACGGTAATAATGGACACGTCAGAGTATAATTTCAAAATACAACAACTTTTATCGGACGTAAGTACATACAAAAAGGTCAAAATAGACCCTACAACTAATACACTCAAAACAACCACTGATTTAATAAAGAAATACTCCGAAAAATTAGATCTTGACGTGAATTCGACAATACCATCATGTACCAAACCACCGAGGTTGTATGGGTTACCGAAAATACACAAACCAAATGCTCCACTACGTCCTATAGTAAGCCAGATCGATTCACCAACTTATAAGTTGGCTCAACACTTGGCAAAAATACTGTCACCACTAAGAGGACATACCAGAGCACACACAAAGGATTCATACCAATTTGTTAGTGAGATTAAAGACCTACATCTCGCTGACAATGAAACTATGGTCAGTTTTGATGTTCAGTCACTATTCACATGCCTACCTATTGAAGACTGCATCTCAATTGTTACTAGAAAGCTAGAAGATAACAACATGCCTACAGAATATGCAGTATTACTCAAACACTGCCTCACATCTGGCTATTTATTGTGGAAAGAAGAGTTCTACATGCAAGTAGACGGAGTGGCAATGGGCTCACCTGTATCTCCCGTAGTCGCCGACATATTCATGGAGGACTTTGAGGAGAAAGCCCTTCTTACTGCTCCTGTAAATCCAAGATTCTACAAGCGGTACGTAGACGATACTTTCACAATTTTACCATCTGACAAAGTAACTGCATTTTTAAACCACCTTAATTCCATAAACCCTAAAATACAATTCACAATGGAGTTAGAGGCAAACAATACTTTAGCTTTTCTAGATGTTTTAGTCATCCGAAATCCTGATAACACTATTGGTCATACTGTGTACAGAAAAAATACCCATACCAACCGATATTTAAATGGTGAATCTCACCATCATCCTTCACAGTTAGCTACCGTGGGAAAATCTTTGTTTCAGAGAGCACGAGGGATCTGTGACAGAAAACATCTGGCCGCCGAGCTTCAGCACGTCGAGCAAGTACTGCAAGACAACAAGCTTCGGGTCCCGCGCCTACGTCACAGTGACCGAGTGAAGCCAGCCACAGTCGAGCGTGTGCCTGCTGTACTACCCTATGTCAGAGGAGTCACAGACAAGGTTGGCTACATCTTGAAGCGAGCTTCCATTAAAACGTACTTCAAGCCGCTGAAGAAGATTGGTCAATTTTTACCATCCGTCAAGTGTCATATCCCTCTACAAGATGCAGGAGTGTACAAGCTGGATTGTGAATGTGTTCTCTCGTACATAGGACAAACAAAAAGATCTATTAAAACCCGCGTTAAAGAACATATAGCTGACGTGAAGCACCGACGTATCGGGAAGTCTGCAGTTTGTGAACATGTTCAGGATCGTCCCCGTCATTACATTAGATTTGATAGACCACAAATCCTCGCAAAAGAACACCGATTCCTCCCAAGGATGATTCGCGAGGCTATTGAAATTAAAAAACATCCTAATTTCAATAGAGAAGATGGATGGGTGCTGCCATCTGCTTGGGATCCCATAATTAATAAAATCAAATCCAAACCCAAGTATACCACTGCTAGACTTCAAGAAACTGTAAGCTCATTCTGCGTAAATCGAACCAAAAATTAATATTAAAAAACTGAAGGTAGCCGGGCTAACTATGACAGCAGGACGTCAAACAACTCAGTCCCCCGTGACCACGGGTGCTGGAAAGCACCCGAAACGTCGGGAATATAAAAATAAGTTAATATACGCGATAAAATCCGTAAAATTAGTTTTATTTAAAAATGTGTAGTGTTCGCGTAAATATAAGAAATCATTATGAAAACACATATTTTTTTTACTATTATAAGCCAGTACTTGACTACTATTTCACCTGATGGTAAGTGGTGATGCAGTTGAAGATAGTAAAGCTCACAGACGTAGCTTAACAAAAGCCTATTCACTCTAGCCTTAAATGATGACTCCAAGACAAGAGACATTATAACAGGATAGAATACAGATGCTGGCAAATTATTCCACTCCTTTGCTGTATGAATTATGAATGACGAAACTAAAAAGTTTGTTACGAATACGTACACCGTGCACGTCGACAACAAAGGCAATATTTGTACAATACGCACATTATTCACTTTTTAATAAAAAAAATTTTAGTGGATGAGTGAAAAAGGAGATAACCAACCTACCTCATAGTAAGTGGGTACTACCCAGGCTTCTTGCCAGAACAGAAGCTTTGGTAAAGCTAGTTATAATGTTCGCGAACGACAAAGTGAACCGTTTGATTCGAATGCGTGATATGTTAACAACAAAAGGGTGGAGACTAGCCGAGTGTCTGGTGGTCCGATGATGGAATGGACAGGGAGGATCGAGTTCGAATCAGTGTGAGAGGAAGGGAGTTTTATGTCATCTGATGGCGGTGTAAGATAATCATCACCACATTTCGCATCGTGGGTATCATAGGCGTGGTATTTATGATTTTATAGTTTTCGATGGATGTGGTGGTATAAAAAAATTATTTTCCGCCAGGCGTAAAATAACCGGACCGGTGACAGGTAGCAGCGACGACACGACACGTACTATAGTCGTCATTACGCCTGCCTAGCGTAATTAAGGCCAATTTTCCGTCCAACGGGACGGCAGTTGGTCATGTCCAGCGGTAGATTTTTATGCTGAAGAAGAAGGTAAAGTGGAACTAGATTACGGATTCATCTGTTTAGAATTCTGCTTGAGATTAACGATGGTGATTTTTCCAAAAAAGAAACATTTTTAAATCAATTCGAATCGAAATCCGATGAATCGATCAACAAAAAAAAAACGAGGACTGAAAGGTCGATTTCTCAAAATTTTTTTATCTGATTTGCTTTACGAGTTTGAATTTACAATATCCCCTTATAGTGGTGGGTAAGAATACCCACTACCCCATATCTTCCAATAATCTAACAAATTACAATTAAACAACTGTGGTTGCCAACCCGCTCGCCAAGCGTGCTAACTATTGCAATATACCTCCCATAACGAGAGTTACAAAAAAAATTGCACCCAGTCCCCGGTGGCCCCGCTATTCCTGGCTACGGTAGCGACCATGGTAACGGCGGGGCAGAGGGTGCTAAGCATCTCCGGTGGAGGTTCGGTTGTCACCTAAGACGACTCGACCTGGCAACATACACCCTGAGGACTGACGAGAAAATCCTGTCTGAAGCTGGAAGAAGAGAGGGGGAGGACACGGTAATCCTCGAATCCGGCAACTTGTTCTATCAACGGGAGCTACCATCTGTCCCAAGGAGGTGTCGGATTTATCGTCCACAAGCCTCGCGTTAACAACATAGTAACGATTAGGAGCGTGTCGACGAGGATAGCGTACCTTATACTCAGAATCACCAAACGGTATTCGCTGAAGATTATACAGGTTTCCGCACCAACCTCTTTTAGACGCTGATTAAGAAGATTTTTTTTAAAGATTAATTTAAAAATAACACTTTTATAGAATAAGATTGACATACGAGCACACAGTTCATGTGATGGTAAGTGGATATTGTGGCCCATTGGCATCTATCCTCATTTATCCTCGATTAAGAATCAAAATGCAGATGCCTTGTCACCCCTGAGTACTAAGATGGAATGACTCGTATCCAGTAAAAAAGATGTCTGGTTCTCAACACTCACCATACGAAACAAATTTATTTTTTCTAAAAGTGTTTTGCTGTTTTCCCTGCGGCCATTACAGCTTCATCGAAGTAAGACTTGTAAGCGAGGACCTATGAGCTATTGAATACAACGATTCTGCCGCCGATTGCAGTCCCCAGACACCCCGGCCCTTGCTTTTGGGGCGAGGCTCAGTATAGGCTAGCCTATTTTGAGCCGCTATTATATGCCGATATTCTGTGTGTAGTCCTTCCACGGTCAAGTCGACCCATTCGTGTCACAACCATAATATAGTGGCTCTACCACGTTTAAACATCTAGGCTGAAATTTTATATCTATGTAGGTATACACCGAATGGTCATATTTATTTATTTATTTAATCTTTATATACACTATATAGGTTACAATGGGAGGACTTAATGCCAACCCTTAAAGAAATAGATACATAAAAGTTCGTAGGTGCTAAAAATGTTAAAATTACTAGACACAATATATCATAGGTATACATACATGTAATTGATAACGAAAAGATAAATTAAATAGTTTTATAATAAATAACAAAAAAATTGTTCTTCGACTGACCTATAATTATTAAAACAGTCCATAAAATTTTTATTTCTAGTTTGCACATTTTTAGGTAACTAAATCACTTTGGTATCTATGGCACAACTTTTTTTTTGGTAATGCACAGGTGAGCGTTTCGCGCACTGGCATTCGACTGATACGGACGGCTAAAACAAACACACACTGAGAATAAATAATATATCCTTTATATTGAGCGCAATTGTATGTTAATGTCATCAACGCTTCCTTAATCACCTGCTATGACACGCTGTTACCTGCATGCAATATTTCTTTTTTATTGACAATTTATCAGCTAGCTTTGTATTTTCGGATAAGTTTAAAAGGCAAAGAAAACTAGAGTTCGAGCGTGAATATATTGATTCTGCAATTTAATTCTTCATCATGTTTCATCTGTATCTGTCTTCTCCTGGACATGGACATTTTCAATCTAAGAGAGGGTTTGTTGGACCTGACCACGCTTGGTAGACCTAATTGGGGCTCTCGCAAATTTTTGTTGACGATACCTTGTAGTTTGTAGAGCTACTCATCAGTTCGTGTCGTTGGCCTACCCTTACGACAATATATCTTCACCTCTCATTCAAGAATTTTCCATTTAAATTCTAACTAAAGACAGCAGCACTTCTTGATGTATTGTGATCGCTCTCTTTTCTGCGACATTGCACCCAAGTTGCCGTATATGCGTTCCCATATCCTTCATCCGATTACGAAACGACGATGAGTTATTGTGTATCCGTGAAGGTTTCTGCCAAATAATATAACAGCTTAAAAAAACTTAAACAACGATGAATAGTGATGATCCTAGAGAGAATACTAGGTTTTAGGAATTAAATTATTATATTGTCATGACTTCTAAATATGTCTACAAAACATCAAACGTTTGGAAGTAGGTAAAAACTAAATTATACAAAATTCCACTACATGTATACAAACATAGAGACATACAGGACAAGGTTATATAAAGCGTGGAAAATTAAAACCCGAATTCAAAGAATAACTTGACTTGAAGAGCAGACCGAACTTTGGTCACGGTGGCTATTCTCAAAGACATACAAAGACATCTATCATTATTTCATTATCATTCAGCAACTCACACGCATACAGTTTGGACACAGAAAGTAAAATAATACAAAACATCAAAGATAAAAATAAATAATAGAGAACAGACCTAAAATAATCTGATTATATAAGTGATGTGATGCTGTAAAGGACACTGAGTCAACATAATGCTAGTATCACACGATTGCGGTAGCGTTGGTTTTCAGCAATGCCCATTGAGGTTGGACTCGCCGGCGAGGATAGTGTGTATTCGAAATATACTCGAAAAAAATGTTACCAAAATAAAAACAAAACAAAATAATGGAAATTCAAAAGGATGGGAACGTTAGATATGTAGTATGTATAAGTGTATATTATAATAAATAATATAATAAGTATGTACAGGTTTATAGTGCATGCGTGTTTTAGCAAGCGTTCCCCAATTTTTCCACCTTTAGAAGTGGAATTTTTCTGTAAACTTATATGGGACCACCCTTGAAGTATGATCTAACTAATGAAAAAATCATAAAAATCGTTTCAATTAAAATAAATATAATTCAGAAAAGACATTTAATTTAAATTAAAGTAATAAATGCTTCATTACCCTCGCAGAAATGAGAGGAGGCCTGTCCAGCTACCATCTTACTACCTACTAGGCGCACCGTGGCGGCATGCGTTCAAGATCAAAGGCGTCGGTAGACTGTTAGTAGGTAGTAAGACTGTGGTCCATCAGTGGGACGTATTTAGGCTGTAACTTTATTTTTTCTGAATTAAATTTACATTCGTGGTTTGTTTTTGGTCGACTTCAAAAAAGGAGGACGTGCACAATTCGATTGCATATTTTTTTTTGTATGTGCTAGGCGATATTCTTTCTTAATTGAATAGTTTATCACATTATTTTTTTATTACTAAATTAACACAGTTGATAAAAACATGTGTGAACTACACGCGGTAGAAGTGAAACCTTGAAATGAAATTGAAATATAAAATAAAAATATTTCACCGCAAATGATTTATTTAACGACTTTACATTTATCTGTCAAATATGCAGATTTTCTTACTGGTTTTGCCTTCACTGACGAGCACGTTGTAAACCGTTCCTTATTTATTGCAAGTAACATTTTCAGTGATGTCGGCAGATATCGAACCTGAGTTGGTCGTTTACAGTAGGTATACGTACGTACAACGAACCGAGCGTTTAATCTCTGAACTACCACGACTTTTTTTTATATATAATGCAATGTTTATATAATGAGTACTGCTTGTTCTTCGTTTTAAGTAAGTCGCAACATAATTAATTGTACCCAATCATGAGGTCAACGAATTGTTCACTGTGTAAATACGACGTACGTACCTACACACAATTGTAAAAATGAATAAGTTTTAAGATTTAAATGATTAAAATAAATAACTCATAAGCAATTCAGTGACTCGAATTGCTTATGAGTTATTTATTTTAATCATTTAAATCTTTTTAAATTCTACTTTTAAAAATATTATGGGAGCTAGCAACGTTGGGAAAACGAGAATTTTATGTGGGCTAGTTTTTAGATATATAATATCTAAAATATACTATATATATATATATATATATATATATATATATATATATATATATATATAGTATTTAAATCGGTTTGGCTGATGATTTCACGGTAAAATTATAATTTGGCAAAGTAATTTTGAAATTGTCTATACCTAAATAACATTGTAGGTATTAAAATTACAGCAATACTAAAACATATAGAAAAAAAAAATTAAGTTTAAATTAGCGTCTGCCACATGGTACGCAATGACAAAAATGTCTGGCAATGATATATTTATGTTTTGAAAAAGTAAATAAATGTAATGCTAAAAAACTCCTTAAAATTATTAGAATAATTATTATTTTGGCTCTACAGGTACAATGCGCACTAATGTACTCAACCTCCACAGCTAGCCAGCTAACCCGTGTGCTGGCCGGGAGAGTGAGAGTGAAGGCATATCTAAAAACTAGCGTACCTGTAATGCTCTCTCGAAAACGTTGCTAGCTCTTAGACGAAAAGGTCTATAGATTGTTATTTATATAAATCTTGATCTGTTGATGTGTTGATGATTTGCTAGTTTCCACTCCTAGTATAGAGTAATAAGTGTTTTTTCAGTTATTTCAATCCCTTGGTTTTGCTATCATCGCATTATTGCAAATTTATAGTTATAGAATACAGACAGTAATCTTTGCTCTGAGATCTTCTGTTTTGTTATTCCTTTTAATCAGTCCATATAAGTCCACTGTCAGACATAATCCTTTCTCGTTGAAGGTAGGAACGCTTGGAGGTACGCGGCTTGACAATCGCAGTATCGAAGTCTTGCAACTTTGATGCTACTACCCGTCGCCGGTTTGAGTATTTTACGTCTGTTGTAAAGGATATGGTAAACCGCCATCTATGGGATGCCATAGGATTTTTTAGTATATCCTCTCCTCTTACGCCTTCATTACACTACTCGGCATTGATCACTGAGATCTGTACCATTTCATTGTTGCACTTAATGTTTCAAAATATATCAAGGATGATTATCTAATGTGTTTGTCTCTTACAGTGCAGTAGAGTGGTGGCTCAATACGTGGTAGAGCCATGCTGCAGCTATATTAGTAGTATAGTTGTAACACGAATGGGTCGGCGCGACCGGGAAAAGACCACGCTCTCACAGAACACCAGAGTAAAATAGCAGATTTACGCTGCTGTGTTTCGTATGGTGAGTGTAGAGTACTGGAGACCCTTTTACGGTGCATCAAATTTTAGTCCTTAGGATGGCCACAGCATCCACTTATCATCAAATGGATATGGTAATAGCATCTACATCTATGAATATGTGTGCTCGTTTGTCAATCTTATAAAATATAAAAACAAATCTATCATGGATGTTTGTCCCCGCGTCGGCAGCTTAGTATCATTAATATCGCGTTATAATCTCTGTCTGCTACTGCAGATAAGCCCCGCCCATGTGTGCATGCCTTGCGAGACGCTTGTACGAAGCTTCCGCACTCTCGTTCACACTAGCTGCGTGCATAATAACTCAATTATAAACACCGGCTATATGCCTCGTTTTAAAATCTAATTTAGTTTTTTATTTTCACGGTCAAAGCAGTACGGTATAATTATAATGGTTATATAATGATGTAGATTGTTTTACGCTTAATTCATATCTGTGCATTATTTAGTTAAGGTTATAGACATAGTATTTTAAAAATATATACACAAATATACAAATTTTTTCCTGTTTGGGAATTTATGTCGCCACATGCGTCATACTTGAGCACAGGTGCTGCTTTTGGCTGGTTTGTATAGGTTTGCAACACATTTATTAGGTTTTATTTTGCATATTTTTTATTGATGTACTTGTGTACCTAATGTTATTAAAGAACCTGATTTGACTATACAAATGTGAATCTATTCCTTTTTATTTTTGCTTAAGAATATTGTACCAATGGTCGTCAAAATATAAAAACAATAATGATTTCTTATATTTACGCGAACACTACACATTGAATAAAACTACTTTTACGGATTTTATCGCGTTTAATTAAGACCAAAATTAATAATTAAAAAGCTGAAGGTACTCCGGGTTAACTTTGACATCGGGACGTCAATCCACTCAGTCCCCCGTGACCACGGTTGCTGGAAAGCAACCCAAACGTCGGGAATATAAAATAACTTAATTAAACGTGATAAAATCCGTAAAAGTAGTTTTATTCATAAAAACAATATATTATGTTGTACAAATTGATATCAAAAAATAGGGTAACTGCGGAGTTTCTTTCGCCGTTACTTCTCCGGACAGAAGAATTTGAGTTTGAAACAGTACTAATATATTTAAAAAAAACATGTTAACGATTGACAAACGGAAAGTTAATTTCTTACGTCTAAAAATCATAAATCAAAAATAAATAATTCTCATTTTATTTAATTTCATTGTGTTATTGAGAATAATAAAAATGAGAGTAAAATTCTTGATTATCGCTAACGGGTGGGG